TGTAACTTTGCCTACTTCAATGAAAGTTTTGCAATATTTACTGATTTTCATTTGTAAACATACACACAAAAATCACATTTTAACTTTTAATAGTTATGTACAGAAACTTAATAAACAGAGTTTAAAACTATTTTCTATGCATGATATTTGCACAGTGAATTAAACAAATTATTTCTCTGAACAAACTTCAAAAGTAAAAACTTTAATTATGCTCTGGGTGAAAATGAACCCTTTTTTAAAGTAAAAATGGACTAGCAGTAGAAAGGCTATGTTCCAGATCAGGGGTAGAGCCTATTTCAATGACAATTTTGCAATATTCACAGATTTTACCTCTTAGTGGAATAATAATTAGTTGAGTAAGACTTTTCTTATGTTTCATGTAACACAAATCTATTTCTCACATGCAATCCTTCATAATAGCATCTCTTTCCATACAGCACTCAGATTTCTCGATGTAATAACATAACTTAAAAGTAGAAAACACATTTCCCAAATATGCATTCAAATTTCTATTTTCAGATAACATAATTAAGTGGTTTTATATTTCTCAAGACTAAGTCATCGAATACTATGAAAATATTGCCCAAGTACACGCATTTCAAATTTTGCATAAAGATGGTATATACAAAGATAAATTGATTTTCTCATCGTGATTTATATTAAACAGAAAGTAAGATATAAGTTATTATTATGTAATTTGCAGGGGTGTCAATAGTAATTTCAATATACTATGCATGTACTATTTTTCATTATAAGTACAGAACAAAGTCTGAGATTTCCATTCATCAATCAAAAAAAAAAAAAAAAAAGGCTAAATATTTATTTGTTTGCTTTATTAAACATTTCTTTCAATGCAAGTTGTTTAATTTGCTTCATTCTTTGTGCTGATACTTTCTCTTCAATTCTATATATAGATGTAATTTCTTGTTCAAAAATTCCACTATTCAAGTCCCGCAATTGCAGTACCAGAATTCCCATTAAATTGTCAATCAAACTTTTTTCGTTCTCAACAACCTCTGTCACTTTCTTACCTATCAGTAGTGATATTTTCTGGATTTGAACCATACTACAGATTTTGTCGTCCATTATTTGATTGCTTGATTGAGGCTCTGTCATCACAATTGCCCCAATCAATGAAGAACTTCTGTTACATCACCATTTATTACCACTTACCTACAGATTTCCTATTTGGAAAACTTTGCTCTTTGTCTGTGATATTTTGAAAACTCTCAAATTCATAGCTATAATTAATTAGCTAGCATCCATTATACGCTTTTGGCAATGTATTATGAGATTTGGTGAATAAAAACATGTTGTTCTGTTAAATTTTATCTTCCTTCTATTGCACATAGGCGAAATTAAGCCTGAATTATATTAGTTATTTATTATACTTACGACTATTTCTCACGTATGTCTAAGACTTACCCGAGTCCCAATATATAAATTTCCACAAATACTTGAAGCTTATTCAGGCAGTGGCAGACATTTTGAGGCCCGGTGCCATCTCTGTAAGTCTAAAATTCTGCTGCCGTGTGAATCCTTAAAATCTAAAAATGTTGCCATCTCTTAATTTTGTTGCTCAGTGTTTCTCAAAATGTTCCTTCCCTAAATTTTTCTGCACCAACTCTGGCACCAGTCCTGGGCTTAAATGAATAATAAATCAGTTGCTCTGAATTCAAACAGCACTAAATGCAATCTTTTGGCCAAAGAGTATCATTTACAAAATCTATTTTTTGCACAAGGAAAGAAATTCTTCCTTGTCCATCCCCAGAATAATGTCAACATAAAAGATTACCATGCTCTTTGGTGTTCAGTTAATAATATTTCAAATAAATAAATTGTTTACACATCACTGTATGAGTCATTTCTCAGACTGCAGTGTATTGATATCAAATTTCTCAAGCTGCAGTGTGACCATGCAGTGATGAAAGCAAAAAATTATACTCATTTGCCAGGCTGGTCTCAGTGCTAAAGTCTGAAGTGAAACAAATAATCAGGCCTCTCCATGTTTTATTACGCTAAAATATCAAATGTGCAAGTGTAAAGTATAAAAAAAAGGTTGCTGGTAATCCAGAGGCCTGGATTTTAGATCAGTCCAGATACTGATCCGCACATCTGGATTTCGGACCTCATACTGTATATATTTATTTATTTATATTTTACATTATTAAATTGGCTACATATTATTAAATTGGCTAATTCAGTTAATTTTAACTTTCAAATGAATCGTGTGAAAAATTATGTAAGAAATTTAATTGTATTAATTCCCCCCCTTAAGAAACTTAATTTAAAACATCCAAGACCAAATGTTTTAAATCTGGAAGAGGAAGTTTTAATTACTATATTTTTTAAGCATAACCCAATTATGATTCATAAAAAATGATCCAATTATGATTCACAAAAATGATCCAATTATGATTCCCAAAAAATGATGCTTAGCCCATTTCTAGGATTTTTAGATCTCAATTATGGTGCATTTGTTTGTTGCTTAGACACACAGTATGGTTCCTTAGCTGAAACATATTCTAGCTTTGAATTAATTTTATGCTTATTTATACAACATCTACTATTTTCAGTGTTTTTACTATATTTTTCTAATACATTCTATTCAAATAATCTGAGTCAAATGAAAAATGTTCTGTTGTCAGCAAAGATTTAAAATTAATATTCTAACAAGAACTATATTCTTATTAAAGCTACATATTTGTGAACTTCAAAATATGAATTAATTCAAATTTTTACTTAACAAGTGATTTATTTGCTAAGATCATAAACTTCACGCAATGGATTCAAACTGTAGAATAAAATGATGCTTTAAAACCAAATAGCTAATCATCATATTCATATAATAAAAATTCTTCATATTTTATTCAGACTTGCGCACTTCTGCACAATGATAAATATGTTGTATATTTTTTAATGTATATCTTAATTTTACAAACAACCATGACAATGAAAATAAAATAAGAACTATATATAGTACTATTTTACAGATGAGCCTGCACACTACAATACAGCTGTTTTTATTTCAATGAAATTTATATATACCAGGTGGCCATAATTAAACTGACAGTGCTCACAGTGTTATGTAGCACAATCTATTTGCGAGAATGACGCCACTTTTTGTAGGAAGATTAAACAAGACGGGGGACGAAGGATTCTGCGAAAAAAAATTAGTTCCAAAATTCACCGCTAAGGGAATATTTGGCGCTGTGTAATAGAAAATAGAGTGTTAACAAATGCAAATAAATATGGAATAAAATTATCTTTTATTATGGATATGCCTTACAGTATGGCATAGAAAATCTTACGAAAGATTATCAACTTCCAACAGTACAAGATCAGCCGTGTACAGGAGTTACTGTACACTGACCATGATAAGCGATTGACTTTTGCTCTCACCTTTCTTGCCAGAATGGAGGTGGATGATACTTGGCCGTGATGGATGATCTTATGGGGAGACGAGGCCCACTTTTACCTGAATGGAACTGTGAATACCCAAAAGTGCCGAACTTGGGATGACAAATCACCACATGCAGTCACAGCAATTCCCTTACATTCACCAAAGGTAACTGTTTGGTGTGGGTTCACAGCGGAATTTATCGTTCTATGAGATAATACCATTCTTCTATGAGATATGTACCATTCTTCTATGAGAACATTACCCCGACAGGACCGGAAACTTGTTCTGTTACCGGAGAGAAATATCACCACATGTTGAACAGCTTTGTTATTCCGGCACTTCAGCAAATATAAATGCCTGGGGGAAAATCATTTTCATGCAAGATGGAGCCCCTCCACACGTTGCTGTACGGGTGCAACAGATGCTACAACAGAAAGATTCATTAGCCGCTACTTTCCAACTGCATGGCCACCTCGGTCGCCTGATCTTACCCCATGCGACTTCTGGCTATGGGGTTACCTTAAGTCCAAGGTCTATCAAGAAGTAGTCCAGGACCTGCTACGTTGAAGGATAACATATCACGGACTGTACGGGAGATTCCTGCAGACATGTTACTTTCTGCTGTTGTGCACACTGTGCACAGAATGCAATATGTGGTCCACAACAACGGCAGCCACATTGAACCTCATTTGAATGCAAAATAAAAGGTAATTTCCGTATTGATTTGCATTTGTTAACACTCTATTTTCTATTACACAGCGCCAAATATTCCCCTAGCGGTGACTTTTGGAACTAATTTTTTTTCACGGAATCCTTCACCCCCCGTCTTGTTTAATCTTCCTACAAAATGTGGCGTCATTCTCGCAAATAGATCGCGCTACAGAACACTGTGTGCACTGTCAGTTTAATTATGGCCATATATACATATACTAGAAATCAGTAATTTTTTTAACCTGAAAACATAGTACATAAGGGAAATATTTCTATGTTATAAACTGCAATATTAATGTAATAAGTGGGTAACAAGTTAGTAACTGCAATAACAGGAGTGAAATAAATACTTGTAATAAATTGCTCAAATAGATTTTTATAGTGAGAACATTTTTACTGCATGTTTTTTAAATTATAGCTTGTTAGCTTTTTAAGCATTAATTTTCCAGAATTACTTACTTTTCATGCAATCCTTATTAAAATAAACATGTTTTACTGACAAAATTTAAGAGCAATCAAGTTTGCAAATAAGCATACGATTAAAATCCCATGCAAGGTAATGCAGTAAACTACTTCATCTGATAAGATCTAAGACATTAAAATATTTTTATGACTGTAAGAATAAACTGTTTTGCATGATTCATTAATCAATTTTTCTCAGATTAATCTGAGGGGGGTAAGCACTAAGTGATTGAAAAAGTAATTTAAAAAAAAAAAAAGATGGACTTCTTTTTTTAAGCATTATATATTTGGAACAAGACTTCACAAGATAATAATAAATAGAAGCACAAAGTAAATTTAAAAATACTTTTAAAAACATTCCACTGACATACCATTCATTAAACAGTACTCAAATACATTATAAAAAAAAAAAAAAAAAAAAAAAAAAAAAAAAAAAAAAAAAAAAACTTGATTTCAATTGACCAACTTGATATTGTGTTTCATTTAGTTGTACATATTTACCACAAAAAGTCAGTATATTACATGTATAATACAAAATAATACACAGATACACAAAAAAGTTAAATGATGATTGATACATGATACAAAGAAATACTGTAAATTTTTTAAGATTTACAGGTAGAAATACATTAAATGGAAAGTAATCACAAATGCTTCCTATTCACAGCACAAAATGCAAAAGAAATATATATAGTTTGTATTTGATGTCCACAAGAATTAAATGGCAAGAAATGAAAATGGAATCTCAAAATAAGGAACTATTATTCATTATGCAGATGTACGATATAACAGCCACACAACACAATTCTATGGACCCCTTTAAAACTGCTCAATTTTGTTTTAACATTTTATAATATTTAAAATATTAAATTTACATTTACTGCACTTGCAAACAGATTTGATGGAAAAAATAAAACTTTATAGTAGCTGATTGCAATAAAACTTGTGTTATACTCTTAAATGGAAAACAAATATAGCTGAAAGCATACTAAATTTAGTTTACGCTTTTATTCCCTTCAGCTCCAAACTCATTAACTTGAAAAATTAACAAAAAATTGATTAAATACTTATACGAAGTTGTGATTTCAGTTCTCTCAGAATGGAAAATTATGGCTATTGTAAGGACTATTATTATTAATTATAAACAGAGCTACTTTTAACAAAACATTTCTTCATAATTCATTATTTTAAATTTTCTTCATGAGTCTTTACAGCAGATGTATCTACTTTTTTTACAATTTTTGAACATGTTCAATAAATCTAATCCACTGTCAGTCCTAAAATGTTTAGAGCTTGCCATACATAGAAATAAATATTAACAAGAATTCTGCTAACATTTATGCTAACTAATAAATACTTTCAAGAAGTATTAATAATAATGTTTCTTGCTACACTTCACACAAGTTATTCATGGCATAATTTATATTCCCTGCCCAAACACAAACTTACATTGGAAAATACACGTACAAACAATAATAATCTAGAATTTTTTCAAAAATAACAATATTTTGTTAATCAAAAACAATTTAACAGCAATCTGTAATTCTGCTAGCATGTTTAAAAATACAGAAATTTTTACATCCAAACATTAATGCACATTTGCATATCACAGTTAAAATAAAATCTCTGGCTGACTGTATAAATCAAAAAAGAAATATTAAATAATAATAATAATTAAACATTACTTAACACCCAAAGCAATGACTCATGTTGCCAATTGTAACTAGCATGCTATTTATTATTTTATACACAGTCTATGATTCCATTTCAGTTCAGGTTAAATCAAAAAATGACATGAAGCAATATGTAAGTACTGGAATGCTAAATAATTCATATGTGAACTAGTGAAACATACGATAGCAATTTTGTACAGGATTATGCTCAGATTATCATTAAACCAGACAATTAAGAAAATACCAACTTTCCACTGTCTTTAAAATAAATTATCAAATAGGAGAGATGGGAAAAATAATGATAAAGTGTCCATAAGAATTGTTCAGAATATACATCTGCATTTTCTCAAAATATTTTCCAAATGATATTTCTTCAAATCAAAAATTTTACTCCTTTTAAAAGCATCAGGTACACTTGTATAAACAAATAGAAATTTCACATTTATCAATTTACAAATAAGTTCACTTCAAATCCTACAAACATGTTTTACATATCATTAAACCCAGTAAAATTTTCAAAGAATCATAATAATGTTCATCACAGACAACTTGAATATTTAAAAAATTGCATAAATGTATAGAAACATTCAGAACTATTAGAAAAAGTTAATACAAGATATTAAAATGATTAGAAAAATGTAAAAGTCAAAAAATAAATAAAAAAATATTTTATGCAAGCACAAGCAATATTTATAAAAATTCGACACAATTTCAGCTTCTTAAACTGACTAAAGCAATCCCCCCCCAAAAATTTTTTTTTTTTAACAACAGACTGTTAAAAGTACACTTGCACCAAAATGATAGCAATATGCATCAAGAAGATCAATTTCATTTGGCAAAACATCCTTCTGGCATAAGACAATAAATTGATAATAGAAGGCACAAATTTTTCTGGAAGACATCAGTTCCAAAACTTTTATCCAAGAAAATGATTGGCACAGACTTGAAAAATATGTGTAGAATATAATACTAAAACACCAAAAAGGAATGTACAGCTATCAAATATAGTGTAAGGAAATATGTGCAATTTTATCCATTAAAAATATCTGGCAAGAAAAATGTCTTGTGTACAGTCTTCAACCTAAATTCATGCAATGGCATTCTGTTTCCAATTCACAGGAGCAAAATATCTATAAAAAGTAATATACAGGAGTATAAATACAGAAATTGATGACTGGAGTGAGGGTACAAAAATTTAAGATTTATAAACACATTATTAAAAAAAAATTATATGATTCAGAATGAAAACAATTGAAAAAGGTGGAACGATCTTAAGCACTTTAAAGAATACTCAGAGTTTTCAGGCACCTTGATAATTTTCCTAAAAAAGCTATGGCAATAGAAAAAGGAGTTAAAACTATGTAACATAATGCATTTTAGATTTTTTGGAAAGGGTGCATTCCCCTAAATGTGAAAATAATATGATATACAGTCAAAAGTCTTTAATCCGGACTTGTCGGGACTTCGGTGATTCCGGCTTATCGATTTTTCCAGATTATAGATCATCAGTTTAAATCTGGTAAGATGGCATGCAGAAATTATAAAATTAAAAATATGAAACCGTAATTTATAAAATAATGAGCAATTATGATCTAAAAGGTATCAAATTTACAAAAGAAAATGCTTAATATTTATTTGTTTACTTTATTAAACATTTCTTTCAATGCGCGCATGCGTAAAGCATACATTACGCATAGCTGAAATTAGAAAATTGCAACCAGAAAACTATTTAATTTGTATTCGTGATATTTATAATGATGAGGAATTTGATTTAAATCATATCAAAGATGGAGTACATCGAGATGAAATACTACATTTAGTAAGGAATTATAAGCCGAATAAAATAAAAATATCTGCCCTGAAGATAAGGATAGTGCTGACAGATCAACTTCCAGTTCATTGCGTACACATATTACAAGATTACAAAATCAATTTACTGTGTTCCCTTGAAATGATTATGAATTATTGCACATATATAATAGATGTTTTGAGCATAAAAAATACTTACATAAAAATGTACATAACTAGAACAAACCACAATCCTTTAGATTGTTTTTAATAATCACATCAGTGACAGCATCAAAGACAAATTGAATGTTGTTGGTATCCGTAGCACACGTAAAATGTGTATATATTTCTTTGGTACCTTTCCGCTTGTTTTGGCTTTCAAATTTCATTTTAATATATGCAGCAGCTTCTTCATATGTGTTACTTCCTATAAAAATTTATGACAAAATTTCAGATTGCAAAAATAGATATTTAAAAAAAAAAAGAGAGAGAAACTTATTAACTTTGCAATTTTGAATTTCTACATGGAAAAATTCTAATTTTTTTTAATGTACTCTGATGTAATGGGTATTCTGATGTGTGTTGCACTTATGTTAAAGCAGTAGTAAAGCTAATTTAATTTCCTGTTTATTTTTAGGATGAAAAGATCCTTCAAATGATAAATAAAATTACACATATAAAACCTTTTCAACTTATACTTAAAGAGGAACTTAACATACATAAAAATGGCAATTTAACATGGATTAAAAAAACTAAAATTATGCTCTTCAAAGTACCTGATTTAGATGATTTCTTTTCCCAAATATATGTACTTAGCGTATTCGGAAACTAAGTACCGTTTCATTCTAGCGCCATCGCAGCACTGTGGCAGGCGTCCCGCGCATGCGCACTAGTCTTTCTTGTTCACTGACTTTCAATTGTCGCCATTTTGGTTGCTCTATGTTGTGTTTTCAGTTTGCTGTGCACATTCAAAATGTTTAAGACAATTAGTTCTCCCGCTGACTGTGAGATTCGTGCCGTGATTAAATTTTTGAATGCGAGGAATGTTAAACCGGCTGAAATTTATCGTCAAGTGACGGAAGTTTACGGTGAATATGCGATAAGTGATGGAATGGTGAGAAAGTGGGTAAGAATGTTTAATGCGGGTCGTACAAATGTCCATGCCGAGGCTCGGAGTGGTCGGCATTCTGTTGTCACCGACGATTTGGTAAGGAAAGTTGATGAAGCAATTCATGAGACAGACGCTTCACAATGACAACTCTTTCAGAGGCATTTCGACAAATTTCACGTACTGTTTTGTTCGAAACTGTGTCCGACCGCTTGAATTATCGCAAACTGTGTTCCCGATGAGTTCCAAAAGTGCTCACTGTTTGTTCACAAAACAAAGCGACTTGGTAGTGCCCTTACATTTCTCATGCGGTACAGTGATGAGGGAGAAAACTTTTTAAACCAAATTGTGACAGGTGATGAAACTTGGGTGTGTCATTTCACACCAGAATCGAAACAACAATTGATGGAGTGGAGACACACTCATTCTCCGAAAAAACAAAAGTTCAAAGTGACAATGTCATCACAAAAAATCATGTGCACTGTCTTCTGGGATAGGAAAGGCATTTTGCTTACTGAATTTCTTCCCAGAGGTGAAGCCATTAATGCGGCACGATATTCTGAGACTTTAACAAAACTAAGGCATGCCATTCAAAACAAACGAAGAGGAATGCTCAGTAAAGGAATTGTGTTGCTCTATGACAATTCTCGGCCCCATACAGCTGGTGTCACTCAATCGTTAATTCGACAGTTTCCTTGGGGAGAAGTTCGATCACCCGCCGTACAGTCCGGACTTGGCGCCGTCCGACTATCTCTTGTTCCTGCACATGAAGTGCGAGCTTTGTGGCAAGCACTTTGGATCTGACGATGACACGAAAACTGCTGTGGAGTCGTGGCTATTAAAACTGGCGGGAAGTTTCTTTGACGATGGTATACAAAAACTGGTCACCCGCTATGACAAGTGTTTGATCATTAGCGGAAACTATGATGAAAAATAGTTTAAGACATGTATTTTCATGTAAAAATAAAATTGGATTCGAAAAAAAATTGTTTTACTTCCCCCCCCCCAAAACGGTACTTAGTTTCCGAATACGCCTCGTAATTCAATGTGTCTACTCACTACTTTAAATAAATAAATAAATGTTTTCACTAACATTTGTTTAATTGCTCTATATTTTTTAGTCTTATTTGCAGCTGCCCTTCAGAATAAGAGAAATTTTTCTCTCGTCTCTTTTTGGAAATTGTGCACTTTTAAGAACTTCTCAAGACCATCAATGAAATAAAAATTAAGGAGCTATCAAGCAAATAGGAACTGAATAAACTAAAAAATCTATCTACATTTGAACTTCACTTTCGTAATTTATAAGAATAAAATAAATCTGTATGTAAGATGCATCATTATTAAACATAATCTAATATTTAACTCAAAATATAAAACAAATTCAAGAATAAAATAAAGTGCATAAATATTTTCAAGTAATTAGCATTCAATTATAAAAATTTTTATATATATTTTATACTTATAACAGTCTCACACATTTTAAAGATAATTAGTGTTTTTTTTTTTTTTTTTTTTTTTTTTTTTTTTTTTTTTAATTTTACTAATAGTTAGCTTTATACTGATTCTTTTTTTTATGCCTCATTTCATAACATACTCACTCAGTCCAGAGTTTTATGCTAATTTTATGTGAAATGGCATATCCACAATAAACATTAAGCAAAGATGATACCTCACTTTAACATGTACAGATAACACCTAAATGGTGAGCAGTTAAATTAAATAGTTCAATAGATCACATGGGTGAGTGACTTTTTTTTATTTCTAAAGAATATCCATTAAAAAATAGCTAAGACCATTTTACAGCAGTAATAATTTATGATACTGATTCTAAAATGATATAAGTAAAATTATACATTAAAAGTTACAAAACATGTATGTTTCGTAACAGCAACAAACAATAAAATGTGTGTATGTGTATTGAGAATACGGCAAAGCACACTAGGGCTATCTGCCTAAGGGAAGGGATGCCTTCGTGGAGGACTTCCTAAGGGAAACTGGCTCGTATACACGTTACACATGGGGAAAACCACGAAAACGCCCATACAGCCAGCCCGTTCGTGGGATTTGAACCTCGGACCGAACTACCAGTGTTCAGCGATTTTACCGCTCGGCCGCCGGTGGGCCCCCAAACAATAAAATGTTGCAACAACAAATAACAAAATGTTTATATGCATCTTTTTAATTTATAAAATTTTCAGATATATTAGCTAATTTACATCAATTCCCTTCTTTTGCAAAGGTTAATAAAGAAAAAGATGATAAAAAATACTTTATGCGATTAGTTTTAAGATAAAATATTTGAAATTCAAAATGTACAGTTTTAAATTTACAAATGCTACTAATAAGCTACTAAAATACATAGCTAGTAGTCCATCTTGAAGAGGACTGGCAAATTTCAAGGAATGAAAGGTGATTGCTTTGAAATTACTAAACAAAATTTACAATGTAAAGTTTTATTTCACATCATTGTTACATGCAGAAAACCTCTCTCCTGCATTTTAAAACTTTAATTACTTATAATATTTTAGAAAATATGATAAAAGTAATTTGCTATTTATGTATTCATTTGTTTAACTTTCGTAAACATTAGTCATTTATATTTGATATTAATTTGGAATTTCTTAATAGTATTAATAAGTCAATATATCACACTTTAATGTTTTTCTTTAGCAAATTTTTTTAAAGCAAATCTGCTATGCAAACATAACTGGCACCGCTTATTGTTGGCTTCTCTAAGATGACTACCTTCATACAAGATTTAAATTTTCCAGAACTGCAGGTGGTTATCTTAGAGTGGATCCTCAGCAAACTTAAATATTTTAGATGTATCACATTGATTATCAAATACAAAATAATAATAATAAAATATGAACTATTTACCTGTATATTCAGGAAAACATATAGTAAGAGGAGATTTGGTAATTTTCTCTTCAAACAGATCCTTTTTGTTCAAGAAAAGTATTATTGAAGTCTCAACAAACCATTTATTATTACATATAGAATCAAACAGCTTCATACTTTCTGTCATTCGATTCTGTTAAGATAAAGTATTGAGTTAATATAAATTATACAGTAAAAATCATTTTTTCAGTTAAAATCACTTTCAAACTAACAACAATATGAAAGGCATGATTGATTTTAACTGGTCATCAGTATACAATGATTTATTCTTAAACTCCTGCTTTATAAGTATTGCTTTTGAAATTATGCATCAAACCTGTTTTATTCGTAGATTATGTTTTCTACTACTTGTAAAAATGTAAATATATATTTTATACTTAACAGACGAGTTAATTATTAACCATAAAACTAATTGAAAAGTTCTAAACTAATATTTATAGGTATCATATACTGTCTTTGATGTCACAACTGGAACAAGCTTTTAGAATTCCTCTCAAATTGTAACTTAATGATATTTGCTTATAAACAGTTTTCTAAGAGTTTAAAAAAAAATCTATACTTACTGTATAAGTTAATTTTATTATTTTACAGTCATAAAGTACAAAAACAAAAGAAAACATAATTAACAAAGTATTCATTTTATCAACAAATTCTTACAACAACAATGATAAAAGTATAATAAAATTTCCCGAGTTAAACAAAATTTTCTGTTTTCATAGTGGAAATCTACATTTAGCTTATATGCAAGACTTTTCATAAAATTACCATTTAATATTTTTCATAATATGCAAGAAACTAAAATTTTCAACTTGCCATTTCTTCATCTTCTGCTAAAACTAAATCATATCCACTTAGAGCTACACAGAAAATAATGGCAGTTACACCTTCAAAACAATGGATCCATTTTTTCCTCTCTGACCTCTGCCCACCAACATCAAACATTCTAAAGGAAAAAAATAATAAGATCAACTGTTTAAACAAAACTTATAATTATAAAAATAAATAAATAAATAAGTACAGAAATCAAATTTGTATTTTAATGTAAAATGAAATTGCACAAAACAGTCTACACTAAATAAGAAAGGCTGCTGCTCACTGACAACTATAGAACTGTATATAACAGGGATGGCCAAAGTGTGGCTCACAAGCCTAATATAGCTCTCGCAGGCAATTTGTGCAGCTCGTGCATATAAAATATATGTATGAAATATGGTAAACTAAAACTATTCAATGTCCAAAAAGAAGTAATTAATTAGTTTAGACCCTTTTTGCAAAGTTATCAAGGATTTCTTTCTATTTAAAACCTCCTCCGCTGCTTCTATAACGATTAAAATATGAACTTGTGGCTTTTAGAAAATCCAGATGCGGCTCTTGAACATTCTTGAATTCAAATGTGCAGCTCTTACTGACATGAAGTTTGGTCAACCCTGGTATATAAGAAAGACATATGCTTACTGCAGTTAGGAAACATAGCTGGAAATAAAATGTCTTAATTGCCAATCCTGCTTAGTAGTTAACTAGTACTACAAAAAAACTAAGTGCACAAGTAAATAACATTAGGGGTACATTAGGTAAATAACATTTGGGAAGTCAAATGCATATGGCATAAGAAAGCAGAAAAAGGAACTTTTCGAATTTTTTGTCGATTCTGACACCCCACTCGTAATGAATAACAGAAAAATTAGTTGTTATGCTAAAATTGAAGCTCATGACAAATTGAATGAGTCGAATAGCATTGTGGCGAGGGCATGCCATTGATGGGTCTAATGCTAATGTCTTAAGCCAAAATATCTTAGGAAGAAATGAACTTAAATACTCAGTGCACATATTCAACAGATTGGTTAACTAAATTTTAAAATCAACAGGGTATTAAAAATTTCAGGTGGAAAAGCTTCAGCTGATACTAAAGCTGCTGAACAATTTGCAGATGAATTCTTTGAACTCATTTAGTGAAAACTTATCTCCAGAACAAATTTACAATGCTGATGAAACTTTTTTTTTTTTTTTTTTTCCTGGCAATGTGTACTGTGAAATACCTCGGCAACCTCTAAAGAAAAGGCTCCAACTGGTGTCAAAGATTATAAAGCAAGATTAACAAATATAGCATGCACAAATGTTGCAGGAAGGCACAAGTGTAAACTTTTCATAATAAAAAATAAATAAATAAATAAATAAAAAACTTAAAATGTTTAAAGGAGTAAAGATTTTCCCTGTTATATATATAAAACAGCATGGAATATTATATATATAAAACAGCATGGAATACAAAAATGTTAATGAATGATTGGTTTGAATCATTTCATACATGAGTATCAGCAATATTTGAATTCAGTTGGTTTAACTTGATGCTGCAAAAATTGTCCTGGTTGTAGACAAATGTTCGGCTCATGCTTCACTTAAAAGTTTTAGAGAAAGATAATGTAAATGTACTATTCTTTCCCCCAAATTTTACATCCATCATTCAGCCTATGGACATCGGAATAGCGTGCACGCTGAAATGCAAATATGCAGTAGCATTTTTTAAATCCTTGTTAAATTTCTTGAATAATAGCAAGATTATTTAAGAATTTTTGAAATATTTTAATATAAAATTTGCTGTGTGGTGCATCACAAGATCATGAAAGGATGTGTCTCCAGATACTTTAAAAAATGCTTGGCATAATTTATGGTCAGTTACCATACTTCATGGTGAGGATGGTGAAGATTATAGGCACCAATTTGAAGGTTTTCAGATATTGAAAACCAAATGTGAAATTTTCCAGTTAATGGATTTTGGAAAAGAAACATGCAAAAGTGGTAATAAATGAAGATAATATCACAGAAGTTTTTCACTGCGATGACAATGCCCCAATCACCAATCAATGGTTTGCGAAATCTGCAGTATGGTTCAAAATAAAGAAAATAGTGCTTGAAAAAATTTTGATTGAGAAGTTAGTCAGAATTCTCAACATAGCAATTACAGGACTTGAATAATGGAACTTTGTAACTAAACATGAAATTATGACTGTCTACAGAATTAAAGAGAAAGTATCACCACAAAAAATGAAGCAACTTAAACAACTCACATTGGGGAAAATGTTTAATAAAACAAATAAACATTAAGCTTTTTTTAAGGGAGGAGGTAAATTTAGATACCTTTTAGATCACAAATGCTTCATTATTTCATAAATCCAGATTTAATATTTTTAATTTTATCATTTCTACATGCCATCTTGCTAGATTTATACCGATGATCTAATATCCAAAAAAATCCCGAATCCGGAATTGCCGAAGTCTCAATAAGTTCAGATCTTGGACTTTGTAGCATATACACTTTTTTTTAGATGGTAGTCTCTCCAGTTTATAAATATATATACTACACACACAGGTGCAAAATTTAGAAATCTCCCAGTGCAAAAAAATTAACATATATGATTAAATATTGGAACATCATCATGAATATTCTACATGCATGCATATGTAAATAGCTTGCAGATGGCTGTGGGCACAAGAACTATAGTCACAACTTGGACAGGAATCAATGCACTACTAAGATAGCACTACTTGGCAAGCACATTACAGAATTGTCAGACTAAATAAAGCATTTCTTTTGCTGCTTTGTAAAATTTATAAGCACGCCTTACAAAGACTCAGCCAAAAGCTAACCTACAGTATACTATTTATCTCTAAATAAATTGTATTTTTGCTCCCACATAAACTGCTTAATGACTTTTGTTTATCTGTCATAAATGACAAATGAAATACTGCAAATTTTCCATTTCAGAAAAAAAGAGTAATAAACTGACTTATTTTGAACTGATATAAGAATGATGATCTCAACATGTCAGAAATAAAGAATAATAAAAAATTTTAATCTAATGTTTGAAACAATGTAATAAAAAAGTAAAAATATACTAAACTCTTACTTAAAATGTAATCCTTTAAATGTAAAATGTGTTTCTACTATGCCAGTAGTTTTGACTCTAGTCCTTAATACATCTTGCTGTGAAGGAATGTAGTTTGGTTGACTTATTCTATCCAATGCATTCAGATAACTAACACAGAAGGAAAAAAAAAATTAAATAATTCATAAAAAAATAACTAATAAAATGCAATACAAAGAAAAAATGAAGATTCCTTTAATCATTCTATTTTCTTTCATGGATAGTTTTAAAAATTATAACAAATGTGATTTATCCAATAGTAATAACAACAAAATCAAAATGATCTTAGTGTCACTTCAGAATACAGCAGTTAATAATTACATGAGAGCTAAACGATTTACCTAACATAAATACATAATACTCTATAAAAAATAATCTATAAAAATTCGTATAAGCCTTTTGCATGCAAACTAATGCTTAAAATACATGGCACTATGCTTTAATAATTTATAAAAATCATTTCATTTTTATGTAAATAGAATAAACCTTTTTCCTGAAGCATGCATTTACAAAATGACCATTAAATGCTATATATAAACTATATACTATATATATGCGCGTGTGTAATAATGCAGACTGTAGATTTGTTCTTGAATATGTGATATTACATAGCAAAGTAGAAGGTAGATGACGTGACATACATGAAGAAGTTTGCAAACACGATAGTCTAAATATTTCATTTATTTAATTAAACATTTTGCAGCCACAAATAAACCGTCACGCTAATCATACCGATTTCAGAATATTTACATTCACATTTAAATTTTTGATACTGTTTTCGTAAGAACACAGCACGAGTGTCTAGTTAGGCCGAGTAGCAGAAAGCAAGTGCTATGTATTCAGGACGATATCTTCATTCATAGTATGCAAATTTCAGTTTTAACACCATTTGATTAGATGACTAATAAAGTTCTAAAATTATTACTGGCTGCTTGAGCTTTGGTTCCACCAGCGTTGTGTAAAAGTCATATATGATATGAATTAACCTAGAAGTGACTCGGTCCAGAAAAAGTTATTACAAGCAATTGCTATTTTTAGAAGAGAGAGGGAAAATATCCAATTTAAACTGAAAAATTAAGATGCTATTGCTACATAGTATATGATTTATATAGTCTAACTTATTATACATACATATATATCAAAAGCAAAAAAATGTGCAAAAAAGTTGATTATTAAAATTTATTCAAAAGGACAAAAAGCAAAATATTGTTTTGTAAAAATGAGCAGAAAAATCCTATTAGTTGAATTTTAGATTTTTAAATTTTTATTTTTATTTTAAAAATTACAGAAAAATGCAGGAGAAAGCTTTAAAAGGAACTATTGTTAGAATTCAACTTGTAGGACTTTTCTACTCATTTCTACAAAACAATTTATAAAACCTTTTTGACCACTTTTTGAGCACCCTTATTGAGTCTACTAATTTTAAAGTATAACTTATTCTAAAATTTAATTAAAGTTTTAGATTGAATCACATCCTTTGTTCCCTATTTGTTTTAAAAAAGGTCAGAAAATTTCATTTTAGTTAGTAAAGTATTATTTTTCTTTTTCAAAATATATATTTTAAATTGAAATTTTAATATAAGTTTTAAAAACTTTTTCTTTTGGTTAAAAAATTTTATCTTTTGTTCCAATTTTTAGCCTTTTAAGAGATTACTTTCTTGCCACTGTATTTTAGTTCAACCAATGAAGCCAAATTGGCAACGTAAACGTCACTACTGTAACGATCATTTTCATAGTTTCGATTGTGTTCTAATTGAAAGTGCTTGAAGTTTTTAATTATTTCTAATGAGTTTTTATTTCAATTCCATTTAGATTAAGTCTTTTCATTAAAGTTTTATAATTTGACTTACGTTTTCAATTCTTTGGATAATGGTTTCTTTGTTTAAAGGTAAAATTTTGAGTTTAATCTTTTACTAAAGTATTTTATTATTTCACTTATGCTTTCAATTCTTTGAATAGAGTTCTCTTTTATTTAAAGGTGAAAATATTTTATTAGAATTTACTTTGGGGAAGGGGCAGAATTTTCGGGTGAACTATTATAATTAAAATACATTGAAATGGCTCATCGGCTAATTCTGCATATAGAAAAGCTAGGATTTTTGTAGAAGAGTGATTTCAATGTTCCCCTTCCTGATGAAGTGGCATTGAAGTTGACTGAATTCCTCTTTTATTATGTTCTTTCTATAAATTTCGCTGATGTTTTGAATTGGGGTATTACTTGTTTGAAGTGTTTTGGTTTTAAAACACTTATTAAATTATTTTTTTCATTCATAAGATTATATGAAATTTATTACTTATGAATTTCCATTTTTGGTCTTTGTGAAAATTTGGTTCTAAATTTCTTACTAGTAATGTTTCTACTGGTAAATTTTCAGCAGCTTAATACACGAAAATACTAAGCATAATTATATGTTTAAAAAAAATTGTTTTGTAATTTTATATATATACATATAAATATAATCCCCAAAGGATTAGTATTATAACTATAATAAGTACTGTTTTCCTCAATAACTTTCGAATTAAGGTTTTGCTAAAGTAAGAGAACTTGCTATTTGCATACTAAACCACGATTGCCTTCAGCAATCATCAGCTGTATCACAAAATCACTAAAATCATCAGCTGTATCACAAAATCACTTTCCAAATAAATTCCCTTTTTAGTTACATGAAAAGAGTATATACTACCAGAAGTGATTGTTGGCGCATTAGAAATATTTGCAGTCACTGATACTAAAATGTATTCATAATAAAATTTCAGCACCAATATAATTAGTTAAAAGTAACTTTAAAATTTATTTCACATGCATAAAAACATACATTTACAAAAGAAAATATATATTTAAAATACATTCCATCTAAGTAATAAACAAAATCAGAAATAAAACTTCTTGATTTTTCAAAGGAATATATGAATTTTTAAACATTGAATTTTTTCCACCATTACTTGTGATAAAATTATGTCATGAATGACAGCTTTATTGTTTTAAAAAGTATTAAATTCTGGAATGAAGTTACTGTTTACAAAATGGCAGTAGGGGACCAGTTATATCTATCCTATTAAATAATATATAATTGACAAACAATCATTTCAGTAATATTACGATATCTGCTAAATTCTGAGAGGTCAAAAAAGCAGTTTTTTTAACAGACTTTTGATGAAAAACTTTTCATATAAGCATATATAATAATACAAATTAAATGTAATTTTTTATTAGAATTGAAGGCAAAAAAAAAAAAAAAAAAGACATTTAGAATATTGGAACAAAACAATAACAGAAATAAATACTAATGAAAAATTAGCACAAAACTAGATTTCTTTTTTTGATTCTTGAATGACACTCATGCCATACATAATTTGCCAAGAAAGTGATTGCTTCCTAGGTTCATGCGAGAGTCGCTTTTTTGGAGATCAGCATGCGAAATTCCCTGACTTTTCCAGATTTTTACTAAAATATTTAAATTCCCTGACGCTTTTGGTCAATTTTCGAATCCCTGACTTTTCCTTGTTTTCCAGGTACCGTAGCAACCCTGTTTGAATATTTTTCAGAATTCAGTTTGAGTTAAGCATTTGTATTCAATTCTTCAGTTTCTATTCATATATTATGATGTACTCTCAAACAAATTAATTCAATTTTATTTAACAGTTTGAGAAATCAGTGTTTTTGTGCTTGTAAAGATAATGTTGAATACCTGGGCATTTTAACCTACAGATTCAGAGAGTACAGTAAAGCCAGAAGCTACAAGTTGGCTAGAAAAGAATTCAAAATGATCTCATTTGATTAAAGAGTACATACTATGCAGCAGAATCATTCAGAAGATATTCTCTTGAGCGAGAAAAGCACAGCTGTAAACCTCGATCTTGCCATAGCCTTTTCATTATTGCTGCCAGTTCTGGAGTTAATTCACCATCCTGGGAAGCACCGGCTATAGTAAAAAACTGCCTAGAATCCTCCTAAATTGTTAAAAATGAACTGTTATGATTTTATATTAACTTCCCAAATTAATGTCAAGAAGCAATGTAATCATTAACAACTCAAATTAACTTCAAAAAATATTACAGCACTTAAATTTTTATACACAAGAATTTAAAAAGAAACTTTTCTTTATTTTTAAAAAATTGCCTACGAATATTTATTAATAAAGCATTCAGCTTCAATTACATTTACTACATTTAGATGAGTATTCAGAAATAAAATTACCTGCAATTCCTCCCTTCACAGAAGAGCAAACAAAGGGAGAAAAAATTCATTTTAACTAATAAACTTTATATTTTTACATTAACATGATTATATAGCATAATTTTAATTATAGACAGATGTAGGCAACTAAAACTACATATATGAACCAATAAAAATAATGAAAATTTCATGTAACAATATAATCATTCTGGAACACTGGGAAAAATTATTTGAACAAATTTCAGAAACAAATAAAACAGAAAAAATACATGAAACCTTTATTAAGGCTAACAGGAATAAAATATCTTTTATTTAAAATATATTTTATGTGTTTATTTATTGCTCATTTTTACAGATATATGTATGAATTGCATAATAATGTGCATTTATATTTTCTCAATTTATATCAAACCTTACTCATAAATTTGGACCATTCCACTCCCAAAAATGGTAATCTTTCTACAGCTTCTATTTTGGATGACGAGAAATATTGCCTTACATCTAACTTTTTTATTTATCAAATTATAAATTCATAATATTTTTACTTTCATATTATCAATACAACACCATTCTTATTTCAGTTTTATAGTTAATTATTCCCCCAGAATAGATACCTGCTAAATTCTGAGAGGTCAAAAAAGCAGTTTTTTTAACAGACTTTTGATGAAAAACTCTTCATATAAGCATATATAATAATACAAATTAAATGTAATTTTTTATTAGAATTGAAGGTCCGAGATACAAAGTCCGAGATCTGGACTTATTGGGAATTGGTGATTCTGGATTAAAGATTTTTTTGGCATATTAGACCATAAGTTTAAATCTACTAAGATGACATTTAGAAATTATGAAATACTGAAGCTTTATGACCTTAAAAGAATTTTAAAATGTCTCTTTTCATTTGCTTTACTAAATATACCTTTTAATGTAAGCTATTAAATTTGCCCCCCCCCTTTTTTTCTTTTGCTAGTCTTAATACTCTCCTTTTAATATGATAAACAGACATAATTTCTTATACAGTTACAAAAGTTTCATTGTTAAAGTCCTGTGTTAAGGATTTAACAGCCACCATAAGCCCCGAGCTCCAAACAGGCCACAGAAGCACACTGTCATCTGGAAATACCACATTTTTCTAAATACAGAATAACAAACAATAAAAATTGATAATTAGAATAAGCTCAATTAAATAATATATTCATCAATTTATTTTATTTTAAATGTAATAAATTTAATAAGATAGTGACATTTTCAATTCTGTATAATTAGCTTTTTCTGCATAATCTTAGCTTTTTCTGTTCTTGGAAATTAAGTATTAAAATTTCTCAAAAAATGACACCGGCAGTTCCAACATATAAAAATTCATGCAATGTGCATGTGCATTTCCTCTATCAGGAACTAAATAATAATTTTAATCTTATTAAATTATAATCACGATATAAGATCCTCTATTACATGTACTGTTGAAGTGTATAAAAAATATTAATATACATTTTAATAAGATCAATATAAGCCACCATCTGTATTTTGTTCCACCTGGTAAGACCTCAATCAATCACATTCACTGATCATTTCCTAGCACTTTTAAAAAGACAAGAGCAGTTGGAATATGTGTCAGTTAAAAAATATAATGATGCTTTAGTATGCATGGTATACACAGTGTAAAACAATGCATCGGTAATATTGTTCTGTCAACAATTCTGAAAGTAACTGTAAATATCTGAATTTTTAAATGTATTTCTCAAACCTCTGGAGTTAGTGGAATACTATTTGTTAGTCACTGGTTTATGTATTTCTTTTTTAAATACATTCTGACACTAAGAGCTTGATTTTACTAAATTACAAGAGTGAATGTAATTTTTTTTTTTTTTTTTTTTCCAGAGAAAAGAAACATTTAAACATTTGTATGATTTGTATGTCGGTTTTTATTTTAATGGAATTAAGTGTTAAGTACTGATAATCTAAGCAAAACTTAGTTAACATAGTATACATATGTATGATGTTATTACTATACCTATAAATATTATAGATATTATTACTACATCTATGAATGTATATTATTACTATATTTGTGATCAGTACATAAAAATCAGGATTATATGTATAATAGAGGGCTTTCATACAGTCATCTTTTACTGCATTAAAAAGAACGGAATCAAAAAATTAAGTTGCTCATACTTTCAGAAATAACCAAATAGTACATTACTTTCCTTGCAAAATATTTTCTACCTCAAAATCCAAATTAGCGGTTTCTAAAACTGGAAATCTGTAACAATAATTTTATCAGACAATTAAATCTCAGAGGAGCATATGACATCTATGTATATTTTTGTATGCAAGATTTTCAACTTTAAACATATATGATTCGGATTTAATGCAAGACAGGAAGTGAAGCAAATTATTGTAAAGAAGCATTGAAAAAAAATCATATCAATAAAAGTATTACGTCGATTAAGGTTAACTTTTAGAGGTCATTAAGAAAATCAGAACTCAAGCAAAGACTATTTCAGTATGCTTGAAATATCTTGCTAAATATGACAATTTTTTTTAACTGCATTTACAGGAAATATGATAATCAAGGACATGTATGTCCTTATTATTTGTTAAATTATATTTGTGAGAAATTCATCAGCATTCCTGCCTGGTTGAAGGTGTCATTAGTTCATATGACAAGTTTCAACTTGTTCTCTCAAGTAGTTTATTTACATGAATTTTCACAGTAGATGTCCTGTGTGTTATTCATTAAAATGGATCTTTGTTTTGAATGGATTAAGTCCTAAGGAAATTTATCTGAAGTTGACAAAAGTTTACAGATACTCTGCTCCTTCCAAAAATAAATACCATGTTCAATCGTTAAAAAGTGGGCAGCTGAATTTAAACGTGGTCACACATCCCTAAAAAATCACCAACGCAAAGGACGGACAAAAACCACAACCACACTGGAAAACATCAAAAAAAGTGCATGATATTGTGTTGGATGATAGGCAAATGAAGGTGTGAGAGATAGCTGAAGCTGTGGGAATATCAGAAGAAAGAGTGTGAAACATCTTGCATAAAGAATTAGGGATGTGAAAGCTCTGTGCAAGATGTGTGCCGCAATTACTGAATGCCGATCAAAAACAAATGCGCAAATGATTTTTGCAGCAATCTTTGGACCGATTCAACAGGGATCCTGCTGATTTTGTGTGACAATTTGCCACCATAGACAAGACACGGATCCATCACTACATGCCAGAAACGAAACAACAGTCCAAGCAGTTGATGGAAGCCAGTGGTTTAGCGGCAAAGAAAGAGAAGTCTATTGCATCTGTTGGAAAGGTCATGGCCAGTAAGTTTTGGGATGCAAAAGGGATCCTGTTAATTGATTACCTTACAGTGAATATTACTCCAACAGGAAAGAGAATTACAGGTGAATATTACTCCAACCTTCTTGACTAGCTGGATGCCAAAATTCATGAGAAGAGGCTTAGATTTGAAGAAGAAAAAAATTATCTTTCACCAGGAGAACGCATCTGTGCACAAAGGTATGTTGGCGATGGGAAAACTGCAAGAATCTGGGGTACGATTTGCTCAGCTGTCCCCCCTACGCCCTTGATTTGGCACCTTCAGACTTCCATTTGTTCCCAAATTTGAAGAAATTTTTTTCTGGGAAGCATTTTGCATCCAATGAAGTTGTTGAGAGGGTCGTAGATGAATATTTTCACAAACTTCCAGACTCTCACTTCCGGGAAGGAATACTGATGTTGGAGAAACGCTGGACTAAGTGTGGTGAAGTCAAGGAAGATTATGTTAAAAATAAAATCATTTTTTAACTGAAAGTTGCAGTCTTTCATTATCAAGCTGAGAACTTTTTACCTTACCTTTGTAGAATAAGAGCGTTAGGATGCTTCTGGCCTAAGTTGCCACCATTTCTCACTGAACTTTTCACACTGTTTGTAGGCAATGGGAAAACTGCAAGAATCTGGGGTACGATTTGCTCAGCTGTCCCCCCTACTCCCTTGATTTGGCACCTTCAGACTTCCATTTGTTCCCAAATTTGAAGAAATTTTTTTCTGGGAAGCATTTTGCATCCAATGAAATTATTGAGAGGGTCGTAGATGAATATTTTCACAAACTTCCAGACTCTCACTTCCGAGAAGGAATACTGATGTTGAAGAAACGCTGGACTAAGTGTGAAGTCAAGGGAGATTATGTTAAAAATAAAATCATTTTTTAACTGAAAGTTGCAGTCTTTCATTATCAAGCTGAGAACTTTTTACCTTACCTTTGTAGAATAAGAGCGTTAGGATGCTTCTGGCCTAAGTTGCCACCATTTCTCACTGAACTTTTCATACTGATCAACCTCAAAATCTGTTTTCCCTAAGCACCTAAAATGCCTATCTTTAAAACAGCTTTTTTTTTTTCCCTTTTTTTTTTTGGGGGGGGGGAGGATTCTTTCATTTAAGAAGTAACAGAAAGTTAATGATAAACCACTCATCTGAAAAGGTTAATACTTTTTTTTTTTTTTTTTAAAATGTGCTACCAATTTTTACTTTCATTCTTTGGACAGACTGCAATAGCAAATGTCAAAAGCAATAAGACCATGATGCTTTAATACAAACAAAATGAAAATGTTTTATATTTCTCTTGAATTAGATGCAATGAAAGCATCTTTTGCTTGCATTAGAGAAGGTACCTTGAGCAACTAATACAAAAACAATAAATGGTGTTCTATGACAGAAATACTTGAAAACTTAAATAAGGATTTTAAAAATAAATAAATAGGGGAGAAATGAAAAGTCAATAGCATTTTCACTGAAGAAATGTATGTTATAAGCTTCTGGTTATCTGAAGTAAATAAAAAGAAGAGTAGATTAAATTGATTATTCAATTTTCAAAATTGTTAACAAACAAGTGAATACTTGTTATTACGCACATATCAGTAAACAATCTTGAGAGGATATTATTCTCATATCTTCTGCAAAAGATTTGTATCGCAACACCTGTAGGACCTATATTTACCAGTTCTATGAGCACAGTACTGTATGGCAGCATTGAAAACAAAATGTTAATTCTATTGAATTAACAGAACTCAATACAGCTCTGTAACTTCTTTCTGTTTTAGAAAAGAAAAGATGAAAAAGAATGTAAAAGGAAACAGATTATTTTTTATTTTGAAAAATTTATATTTTTGGCCGTTAATTCATGTTCCTAATCTGAACTTTAAAGTAAGTTTGACACGCATAAAAAAAAAAAAACTGAAAACCTTTGAATTCTGTATATTGCACACACAAAAAAAATTCTTTTACGCAGTAATTAAAATCAAAACAAATTCATATCTGATCCAAACACTAACATGCAGAGTGTAAAACAAAATATGCAAAGAAAAAAATTATACTCTTGTACTGTGTTTTTATAAGCTGAAAAATTAGTATTTTTATCATTCATAATGCAACACTTACAATTCTTGCATGATCAGCAAAATCTATTTTTAATTGGTCCATGGCCTTAATAATAGCCATCAGGCTTTGTATGGCATTACTATAGACTACTGGGCGATACTGTGCACACTCTTCTTTAGAATATCCTGCTTCATGAATAATTCTGCAATAGAGAAACAAAGACCATTACAAAAAAAGAAAGAGATCAGATCAAAATAAGAGTAGAACAGAGTAACACTACTGTACACTGTACTTTATCTGCCTACTAAGAATGAATAATTATATTAGGAACCCCTGTTCTCTTCTTTATGTTTTAACATACAAAATTACAACAGATTTTCTAGTTATTTACTTTAAATTTAGTACTACATATTTAATAATAATATGCACAGAAAGTTCAAAATGTCCTAATAATAAAAAATGATTCATACAAAATTTTCTCTTAATATATAGATTTTTATGAAGAATTTATTTTAAAAATTTATACTTACAAAAGAAAAGAGGGCAGAAAATGTGAAGTAACATATATAATTAAAAATAAAAATATTTTTAATAATCAGAAAGATCTTCCAGCTTAGAAAAATGTATAAGCTTGCAAAACTACTGTTTTATACAATGAAGAACTACAGCTCCTTTTTCCAACAGTAGAAAACTGTTCTAAATGTAATCTGGAATCTATAAATAATTTTTGATATTCAATTTATAATATGCTTTAAATGACCTACAATGAAGTGTATTCTTAGAAGATATTCTGGGAGAAAAAGGGGTAAGTCATATTTTACTTTTAAGGAAAAAAGTCAACAGTACTTAATTAATCCATATAAAGATTTTTTTATAAAAATGATAACTATGAAAATTGCAATGAGTACAATTAAATTTACAAAATGATAGTAATTAAATATTACAGGAAAAACTCAGTAAATAATAAACAGTCTTCCTTTAATAAAGAACCAAGTTAAAATTATTGTTACACAGTTTCCTCTCTCTTTCTTCTCGTGAAAATATATGTATTAACTTAGTGTTTATAGAACTGCCTAATGAAATATAAATGTGTAATATTTTGTGTTTTTTTGAAATACTAAACTTACTTCATTTGCTTGGCAATAGTACTCTTACCAGATTCACCTGCACCTGCAAAATAAAATGTAAATGCCTTAGCTTCTGAAAAAATGACAAAAAATAGATGACATTCTCACAACTATATAATAATTTTTTTTTTTTTTCACTTACAGTATATTTTGTTCAAAATCTTTAGCGTTAAGAATCAACACGGTTTAATTATAATCATAACTGCAATATAAATAGCTTTAAATAAGAAGTAAAGATATGCAGACATGAAATAGCAACATCTTAAGCTTTCTTATTCGCTGATAAAAATTCTTTTATTTGTATAATAATCGGAAAGTTCATACTTCTGAAATAAAACAAAACATTTCCATGACATAACTGCTGGCTTTGAAATATGAAAAATTGGGAGGTTCTTGTGATCAAACCAGGAGTTTCTGAAAGTTTTTTGCATTACACGTTGATAAAATTTCAAAAGAATTCTTGATTGACTTAAATCGTTTTATAATGCATTAATCAGATTATTCAATTATTTGTAATATATTTTTGATATAAAATATAATAACATTTAACTACATATTCTAAATTCTATGATCTTTGGCTAATTTCATTTCACAATTTTCTCACACTTTTATATTAAGCAAACCTTGAGCAAGGAAAGCCTGAATTTATTAAAGTATTTTTTTAATCATAATGAAAATAAAATTAATAATTAATGTATATATTACCAAGGATAAACTTAATAATGTATCATTTATTCCCATAAACAAAATTAAATACAAATAGTAATTGATTGAAACTGGTTGAATTTTCATACAAAGTTCTACAGACATGTCAGTAAATTAAAACAATTCAGATCGAATAAAATTTATCATCCTAAAAATCACTAGATGTGAGGAATGAAATTTACACAATTTAAGTTTCAAAGCTTAATAGACTGAATTTATTGCTGAAAAGCAAATTCCTTAATACAGGTTAAAAATTATAAACCGGGGAAATTCTATGACCTACCAGGAGATATGACCAAAAACTGGGCGAGTTGGCAGCTGTTCAGTAGTAAAAAGTAATTGTTTCATAACAAAAATATGTATTTTTATTAAAGTTGTTAAGTTTATTGAAGAAATTGACACAATGAAACTTAACCTAGTCGATAAAACAAAAAGAACCACACCACACTTGCTAATATCATTCACCTGCATTTCTGGGAAGAAGGGGGACTCTTTAAAGAGTCAAGGTCGAATTTTGTGCGCGATAACAAATAGCATAAAAAGATATGATGATCAAATAAAAAACTTGACTAACTTGAATAACTAACTTGAATGACTAACTTGAATAACTAACTTGAATAACTAACTTGAATAAGAGCAGCTATATTTACTTTCTCAGGCTCTCTCAAACAAACAAACAAAAAAAAAAAAAAAAGAGAGAGAGAGAGAGAGAGTGTTGAACTTTTTCAACATCATACATACGATCATTCCAATTGTTGCACTCTGTAGCACCGCTTAATATGTTTTTTTTCCCTTCCCCGGGGGGGTTAAAAAAGGGGAAAAGAAATTAGTTAATAATTAAGTGAGCGCGGATCACAAATTTCAGTCGAAAAGTGGTAGACTTCTCAGCCGAAGCACTGAGATTATGAATAACTGGCATGCCTGAATGAGAGGGGGGGGGTACTTTCAAGGTTCCCCTCCCGGGGGTTCCATTCGCTACTGATAATATTTTTCAGCAGACAAGAGGCTATGGGTGATGGCACTTTAACTGAAAGATAACTTTTAATGGATCCAAGAGAACAAACGGCTATTATTGTTTGCGATCGCATTTAGAAAGCCAAGGCAAAAAGAAGCATAACCAAGGAAACGGGGGAAAAAAGAAAAGAAAAAAAAAAAAAATTCTGGGTTAACAGAACTATAAAGAAAAAAACTTCATGCGCTTCCATTCTGTGATGCTTCACGGTATTTACGTCACCGCGATCAGGTTCACTGATACAATTAATGTGCACAAAGGTTCCATTTATGAATAACACGCACGTGAAAGTTTTGTTTATATGAAAAATAAAAAATATTTAAAAACCAAATCTTTGAAAGAAAGGCGAATTCTTGAAAAAAGCTTATTGACAAATGAGAATAATATATTTAACACAAAGAGTTTTTTTACGTGTTCCGCATATTGATTTATATCGCTCTGCAACTTTCACAAAGGAAGACTTCCTGAGAAAAAGAATTAATATTAATAGCTTTTTCAAATTCCTAAAATAGAGGAAAGCTTGCTGATTTTTTATATGCTTCATGGACTTCTAATGCAAGTCTTCTTCAGACCGAAAGCCTACTGGTACAAGCAACGCATTATTAGTTATTAAAAACCTTAAAAACCACATGTGAAGAGTATTTAGAGCATCTGCGCCCATTACAAAAAGTAAATACACCCCCCTTCTAGAGAACTTGCATTTGATCATCCTCGAAATCGATAGTTTTAATAAAATTCTAAGCCAAACTAAGTTTGTTTTATGGTTAAATTTAAATTTACAAAATACTTACAAATTTAAATATCAGCATTGTTCTGTCTGTCGCAATACGAAAAGACACTGAAACTTCTTTTTTCGATGATTATGACAGTCCCAACAACCTCATGCCCGATTTAAAAAAAAACTACTGTAAAGTCATTAGGATATTTTGAACGTATGAAAAATAAGCAATGCCCTCGCCGAGACTCAAATCTGGAATTCTTGAATGCGCGCCAAGTGTGCTACTGTTACACCAGGAAGGCATGCTGGAAGAAGTGAGAAAATACAGTCTCCCTTTTAAACAGTGACTGGGGGTTTAGGGTACAAAGTCACCAAATTCTAGGTGACGAATTATTGTCCACCACCTTTTAGTTCGGGCGCCACTGTAGGGTCATTACGCATTTTGAAGCAGAGACGTGAAATATGAGCAATACCCTCGCCATGACACGAACCTAGACCTCTCGAATACGCACTGAGTGTGCTACCAGTACGGCACGAAGCAGGGAGAAAATACCTTATATACCCCCTTTTAAAGAGCGCAGGGGATAAGGGCACTCTGTCGCCAAATCCTGGTGGTGCCGAATTATTGTTCGCCACCTTTTAGTTCGGGCGCGAATGAGCTATGTCCTCAGCCGGATTCGAACCTGGACCTCTCGAATATGCGCCGACTGTGTTACCGTTGCACCAAGAAGGTCTGCCGGAAGGAAATGAGAAAATACCTTTTTCTAAACTAAACGAGCTCGACGATTTGTGCTTCGAAGGTGTTCATTCCGAACGGGTCAACATATTCAAATTGTCTCCCTAACCACAATTCTAAAATCAAAATATATATGAGCGTGCACATGAAATGTTACTTAATATATCATGGGTAATGTCAATATTGCCGATGTCAAGCACATTAACATACAATTTCTTATGAGAAAATGTATTAAATTTTTACATTTATAAAATTTTACATAATTTGAAAATTTGTTACTCGACAAACAAAGAGTTCACAGAACCTAAAATCAAAAGCTACGTACTTCTACGTACTGTCCTCGTGATTTAAACCCAAACGTTATTACTTTTAAAAATATTACACATTAAATATTTAAGAACTGATCCTAACAATGCTCCTGTAATGCAGCACAAATTTCAATATCCGGCAATTTATTAATTGGTTAGTCACTCTACCATCCTTTTTAGCGAGTAAACTACTCACACAAACTCACAATTTAAAACAGATTCACATAACAGCTACAGTTCACTCCCGATTAATCGAGGGCGGATTATCCAGATCTTTAAAAAAGAGTTTATTGCAGTACAGCAGAAAAATAACGATCTCAAACCATCAGTGTAAAATAAAATTATCCACGGAAAATACAAAAATAAAAAAATTCATACGATAATGTCAATGATAGTTACAAAAGTTTATATTTCAGCATGTGAGATTTGGGAGTTGTTTTTACCGACACGAGTATATAATTTAATTGTAATCAAAGCAAAATATATAAACACTGTACAGTACGAACGCGGAGTTTATATCATTAGAACACTTCGCACACGGTAAATTTACGTTAAGTTAACTTTCTATGGAAAAAAATGAGTTAGGTATAGTTCAAATTAAAAAAGTATGTATAACTTAAACAACCAAAATAATCGTGTAATTAAAAAGGGAAAATGAAACAAATATTAACTGAAAGGATTTTTATTTCTGCTTTTTAAGTAGGCATTTGATAAAATTATTTTTTTAGAAAGCTGGCGACGTTTGCTTGAGATAATGGTTCACGCAACTCAGTGCCTCTCATAAAGCGTCCTCATCTATCTTCATTTGGGTCAATCACTACTGCAAAATCAGACAGTTCCAGCGCCATTTTTAACAATTTGTTTAACTTCTTTCAAGGCGCCTTTATATTCTTCATTACCGTTGCTTTCACAGTCGGCTGGTGTTACGGTTATACTATCATCCAATATAACATCCGTCACTTCTCAATCGTCATTCTCAATTAATTCGTTGACTTCTCTATCTTCCATATCTGGAAATCCTTCGCCGCCAACTGCGTTTGCAATTTGTACAATTTCTATGACTACACTTCCAACTGATCAGAAAATCTTTAAACTTCTGGTTAGAGCTGATGCCTGCAAGCATTCAATGCTGACGACTACACCTATTCCCACGCGAATTTAATCATTTATATGCAGTGGCTTACGTTGTCAAATGCTTTAAATGCAGAGATGTAAACATGCCTGACATAATAGGCTTTGAATATTTTTATGACTCCTTGATCCAGTGGTTGGATTAAGGAAATAAGGTTCGAGGAATAAAACGTCTAAATTTGGCATCAGTGTTGCAAGGCCGACAGTCTGCAGAGCACCGCGTATGAATAAAATTCTAGCGTTGGAGAAATTCAACGGAAACTATTAAGGTAACGCATAAATGCAAAATCGCGTTCCGTAAATCTACCTCGGCAAGGATTTTCAGTACAATAATAATTTTGAAGGAAAAAAAGAAGAAAGTTATAATTAACTTCCTCTTCTAAATACTGCTTTTCACGTCATAAGTTTACAAGGGATTTCTCCTGTCTTCTTA